TTTTTTACCTCTAATACACCACTATGTCCAACTATTTTTGGGCGCGTATACGTCACTCATTGTTTACACAGTGCACAGTCATTGTAGGTACGAAGGCTAATCAAAATGGTACTTACTTGTGCTTATCCAGATTGTTCAAACTGACTTAAAACTAAAAGATTACGTTCTCTCGCGCGAACTCATTCGGGAGTGGTGACTTTCCATGTATTCCCAACTTCTGAGCCTGCTCGCCTGAAGTTATGGTTGATTGCTCTTCGGCTGGATATCAACACACCCTATTAACGTAAACTACACCAGAGCGCGTACACACCTCGCACGTACGCGCTCAAGGAAGTTGGACATTGCGGTGAATCAGAGGTAAAAAAAATATATAAATACTGTTCGGTTTCTGGCACAAACCGATCGTTTCGTGTCTTAGGACATCAATGTGTCGTCACGAGCCGCAGGGTTTCATTTGGATTTGTCTGTGCATGTTTTTTTTACTCTCATAGATTTTGTCACCATTGCCATGCATTATACGACTGATAGACTGCAACGGTTCGAGTTAAAAATCATCATATGTGTTCTACTGAAGAAACAAAGTCACCTACATCTTGGATGCCCTGGGGGTAAGCAGATAAACATCAAATTTTTGGATGAACTATCCCTTTAAGAGGCGGCAGCTTTCCCGTGAGTGGGCGTGGTTTCAGCGCGTAAGAGCGTTTGAGAGCAGAGGATACCGCCCATTTTTTTGAGATTTTGATAACTTATTTTATGTACTTAGCGGATTCACCTAAATATTAAAATTTACTTACCCTTCATCCAAGGTAATCCAAGATGTAGATGAGATTGTTTGTTCAATGGAGCAGATTTGGAGAAATTCAGCATTACATCACTTGCTCACCAATGGATCCTCTGTAGTGAATGGGTGCCGTCAGAATGAGAGTCCAAACTGCTGATAAAAACATCACAATAATCCACAAGTAATCCACATGACTCCAGTCTACCAATAATGTATTGTGAAGTGAAAAGCTGCATGTTTTTAAGAAGCAAATTCATAATTAAGGCATTCTGACTTTAAACCATTGCTTTTTGGTTATTATTATGTGAACAGTCAAGTTTAACTAAGCCCAATATCTTTTATACAACCTATACAAGGCCTAAATCAAAATCTCTCATTGAATGCAAAATTTTGTCTTTTATATTCAGTAAGAAAAATTTAATTATCATTTAAATTTGGCTAACTGGTTAATAATACATTTTTCTGTGGTGTGACAAATTCAGAACACACTTAATATTTACAGGGACTTTAAGGAATGGAGAGAAAATAGTTAAAGAATAGGGCAGCAAATTCTTGCATGTATCAGTATTAATATCTATAATTAACTCTATCAATATATTTTAGACCTTTTTCGAATTCACCTAAATATTAAAATGTACTTACCCTTCATCCAAGGTAATCCAAGATGTAGATGAGATTGTTTGTTCAATGGAGCAGATTTGGAGAAATTCAGCATTACATCACTTGCTCACCAATGGATCCTCTGTAGTGAATGGGTGCCGTCAGAATGAGAGTCCAAACTGCTGATAAAAACATCACAATAATCCACAAGTAATCCACATGACTCCAGTCTACCAATAATGTATTGTGAAGTGAAAAGCTGCATGTTTTTAAGAAGCAAATTCATAATTAAGGCATTCTGACTTTAAACCATTGCTTTTTGGTTATTATTATGTGAACAGTCAAGTTTAACTAAGCCCAATATCTTTTATACAACCTATACAAGGCCTAAATCAAAATCTCTCATTGAATGCAAAATTTTGTCTTTTATATTCAGTAAGAAAAATTTAAGAAAACATATCAAATCATTTAATTTCAACCTTTTTCATTATATTTACACCAAATCAAAACAAAAGAATATGTAAAGGTAGAATTCAAATAGGTTCACTATCCGTGGATGATGAATTAAGAGTAATAGAGTGAATAAAATCTTATCTGAATTCCATTAAAAGTCCCAAAAAGTCCAGCATAACAGTCAATCTTAATCCATATGCCTGTTGTAATCAATATCACAGTTCATAGCAAGTTGGAAGATCCATATAAAGATAACAGGCAAACGACGAGATGAAGAGATTTGTGAAAAAAAGTAAATTCTAAAACGTCCTCCACAGTCTTCATATCAAGGACCATAATCCTCCAGAGAACAAGAGTCCTAACAAAAGTCAAAAAGAAACCATACTAAATGTTCAAATAACACTTCCAGTGCAAGAGAAAAGTTAAACATACATTTCACACCAAACATAGCCTCACTTATTTTCAGTTGAGCATAAAACACAAGTTTCTCAACAAGGACTCAGAATTTTGAGCACATTGCAAAAAAGTCCTTCTTCAAATGTAAAAAA